AAGAATTCTTTATAAATTTTATTTTTTTAAACCATAAGTATTTAGTAGACGTTGAAGGAAATGTGCTATAGCTTCAAATTTCTAAACAAAAATAAGTAATTACGATTCAGCAAAAATGTTTTTATCAAATAACTCCCTCGAGAGCTAACTTTTGGAGGAGAAAACAGTACTAATATCAGCAACTAAACTCGAGCAATTAAACTTCTTGTATTTGTTCGAATTGCCCCTTAGATTAATCCTGAGATAATTTGTTGAAACTAAGACAAATCGGAGAGTTATTTTTAGACCTATTCAAAAACTTGACTCAAGTTTCTTTTAGTGTAAAAATTCAACCACAGCAGAATTTTATCTCTTAAGATTTCAGGACAGGAATATTAAAAAGTGACCTGACAGAACAAAAAAGTTAAGAATACTGTAACGGCAAAGGTAAAAAAAATAGTATAGAGGGTGTTCAGAAATAAACAATGCCCTGAATTGAAGTACAGGGTGTCAAACGCGATAGTATCTATGGGCCTACTGTGAAGATACAAAAAATTTAAATAAAATTTGTTAAAAAGCTTTCTTTTGTCTAACAAAATTTTTGTTAGATATTTTTCTGTATTACTTCCCATTTTGAGACACCCGTACATTGTATGATGGATGTTCGTTGAACAAAACAATTATTATCCTATAACACCCGTGGTGTCTTCAATGTCCTACTAGTTTACTAATTTGATTTATTTTACATATAAACGGTTTGGCATTTGATTGACACTTAATCTATATTGACATTGATGCTAATAAATATTAATTCTATCTTCTGATATCAAATGAATTTTTAAATCCATCGAAATGTTTCTTAAATTTGTCCTAGGATATTATAGATATTTATAATTTTTAATAATACTTTTAATTTATAATTTTTGGTACCTAATGCCCCAAGATGTTATTTTGCATTTAATGCATATATCCGGAATAACACACCTACTTGTAGAACATTTAAAAAATATAACTACAATTCTAAAGGGAACATATCACATAAAACAGAAAAACGAACACATTTATTAACTAAAATTAAGTAGGTAAGTCAGATATTGATGAAAAGTAGTGTGTTCATAGATTTGATAGGTAAGTAATAAATGTAATTTTAACACATAAACTGTTAAATTCTTCAATGCATTAATATCACATTAAAATCACATTATAAACAGATGATTAGTATCAACAGCAACCTTTTTCTATTTAATACAAATATATTATTATTTAAACAGGCTTCTGAACGGACACGGACATTGAATTATATGTTGTGTTAGAATATTATCTAATCAATCAATTTAAATCTACTAGCTACGACATAAAAAAAAAAACTTTTTTGTAGTTTATTTTATCAACTACTTAGAACTCAACAAAAAATTTCATTTATTCAATCTTATTTAAATTTACGTATATTCACTTACTTTTAATAAACCATCTACCGCATTTTTATTTACATCCTTCATTCCTCATTACGAAAATAAACAAAAGTTGAATTAACTCGAATAGGTTAGGACACATGTTTTTTGTTAGCTTACCTGATTCCTGACGTTGATAACGAGCTGGGTGTCTGTGAATTTCACCAGCACAAACATGCACAAAACGAAAAGGTTCGGATAACAAAAAATACTTAGTCTAAAACACATTTTGACGTGTCCCTTTAACCAACTCGTTTCTTCAAAAACACAAACCCACCATTACCGTTCCACTGACAGAAACACAATGCGGTATCTGCCGGATAGGCAACACATAACACGTTATTCCCTTCGAGACTGAAGTTGCGCAGGCCTGCCAACATGTGGATTCTGTTATTGATTCCATAGGCGTTGCTTCAGGAACAGAAAGGGGATGCGGATTTTAGGAAATTTTTGAAATTATCTAGTATATAAGACCATAATAAGACCATTTCATATGTTCTATTATAACCTAAAATACAATGCAAGGCAGGAAGAAAGTATGTTAATCTGCATATATTCTATCACATAACAATCTTCCAAAGTATAAATGAATGTATATTTTCTCTTTAATGAAAATATTTTATTCTAGTATTTTTTCAAAAATTTTTTCTTTGTATTTTCGTAAAATCGCAAAAATACTTTTATTGTTTCTCATGTAAGTGATTCCACTGTGGAAAACTTTTTTACTACGCCAATGATTGATTCGGGTTTGGATGTTCTCGACTCGGAGAACTAATTTGAACAGCGGGAAAAGACATAAATTTTGTAATTATCTTTTACTGAATTCTTTTTACAGAGTGGCGTCTCAAAGAGGCATTTGAAACAATGTCATCAAGTTGAAAGGTTACATTCATCTTAAAAAAAAAATAAAGTTAAACCTCATTGTAAATTTCCCAGTGCCCACACATTCAGTTTCAGTGTCTAGTTTAAAAAATGAATTTATACGAAGAACTTCAGAAAATCGATGCCACTGAATATTTAATTCCTGCTATTTGTAACAGAAAATGCGTCTTCCACTTTATTGGAAACGCGACCCATTTACAAATTATTGTTTCTAAATCTACACAGCTCGAAAACTGTTAATTCTCCAAAAATTATATAAGATATTTTTCTCAGAAATACAATTTTATGTTCACTGCAACCATGAAGAGTCCAAAACAAATAATTTGCGTATAAACTTTTAAGTATTTGTGAAATAGTAAAGTGGAAATTGTTTACAAAAAAAAACTGTGCACCTCAGTAATTTATTTGGACTATTGATGATTACACTGTATTGAAAATTCAATATATTTTTTTGTAAAATGAATGGTTTTATTTATAGTCCAGTATACAACGGTAAAAATAGGGTATTAAGTACCTCCGAATTGGTGAGTAAGCTCATTTCGCCCTCCTTTACAAAAGTTACATATCCATAATGTGTGCTTATTGTTAGGGAATGAAAACTACCCCTTCTGCCAAAAAACGTAAAAACCATAGATTTAAGTGTTATGTCAATAGAATAAGCATTATTTTATGGTTTGAATAATAATTTTTGATTTGTAGCAACATTTCAACTCTTAAAATCCACCCTTTATAAGGAAAAAAACAAAAATTAGTTTTCGCGGCTCTGAAATGTTTTGACGAAGCAATAATGAAGAATTGAATATTTTTTACTGTTTATGAAATAATACATTATTTATTGCAACCTTTCAACCTTTAAAAACCACCCTTATTGTAGAAAATAAAGCAAAAAATTTTGCACATCTTCATATCATTTGTAATGAATGAAAGACTCATCACTGTTTATAATATTACTGATGATTCATTGCAACGTTTCAACCCTTAAAAACAACCCTTAATGAGGAATTGAAGAATTTTTACCTGCTTCAAAACACTCAACGATACATTACTAAATTCAACGAGATTACTTAAAACAGGGAACTTAAATTATGTAATTAGTGAAAGGGAAAATAAAAATAATTTGTGTATTATACAATTATTCTTTATTATCAAAAATTTACATATCATCTAAAGAACTATCATCACTGTCGACTTCCTCTGTTTGGACATGTGCGTGTGTGTGTTTCTGCGTGTATTTCGCCTAGGAAACTATCAGAAATTAAGCCATTTACACGATCCGACAATTTTCATTGAATAATACAATTCGTTTTTTCACGATAACTTTTTTAATTTTTAATATTTTTCATCGCTCCAAAAAGCAATTTTCATCATAACTCCGCGAGTTTTTGAGCTACGAAATTTTTTCAAAAAGCATTTTAAAGGTCTTCCCAAGCACTTTAAACCAGGTTATATTCATTTTCTTCGAAAAATTAGTTCTTTCGCCATTATTTTACGGTAAAAGGTTCGATTTTACTTTCGAAAAATAAACAATCACATTTAGAGAGTGATAACTCGGTTATTATTACATCTACGGTAATTAACATGAATCGATTCGTTATTTCAAAAGCTTTATTTTTGCTTTATATGGGTATTTCAATAAAACCCAAGGTTTTCAAGTTATTTATCAAAAACGGTTGAAAAACATGCACTTTTTATATGAAAAATCAACATTTTCAATCGCAAATAACTCGAAAAATATTAATTTTTGGAAAAAACGTTATAGAGCATTTTTTGCTTAGAATTCATTCCTCTATTGATTTTTGCGATTAAAATGGGTGTCTTCATGGCCACCCCCCAGAAGAGGTGGCATTTTTCTACTTACTGTTAAAATTTCACGTCAATCGGCGCATTCTAGTCAAGTGTGTCCGAACGTCTACTCTGGTTTTCAGCAGTTATATAACCAGTGACGGTGATCTGGCCAGGGCGTGTGCTCGATTGAATTTCTTATTTTGCATAACCAGTAGCATTCGCTCCAAATTTTATTTGCGGTCTATAAGCAACATATATTGCTTTTATACTGTTATTTCAACTAAGCATTACATAAATCTCACAAATTTAAAAAAATCACATCGAGTTATAATTTCTCCAAAAAAATTTGAAAAAACGAGCACAACGCTCACAAAATCAACTCTTACACTCACAAAAAACTCAACTCGCACGCTGCTATTTACACAAAAAACTCCTAAAGCTTACCGTACAGGCACTCTAACTTTAGTGTTCTAAATCGGTGCATACGGACAGTGATATTCAGACACTAGGATATCAGATCCGACAGCGCTATCCAAACAATGTGTATACAGGGTAGGTCCAAACCCATCATGAGGGTTTTTAACCTTTTAAATATGCTAAGGGGGAATGATAGTAGATTAACTCCACCGCAAGCTAGTCTGGAAAACCAAAACCCACAACATGGCGCACAACGTGGGGCCATTTTGCCAAATGAGTAATTAATCTACGAAAATCCATGACAATACCAAAACCGTACTTTACAACACAATTGTAAATTACACCAACTGTATAAAAGCAATAAAATTCCCATTATTTTCCAAGTAAAATTACAAAAAATATTTTGAGTGTACGTTCATTATGCGGAATTATTTTGAAAAACTGTGAGTACGTAACTATGTAGATAAGCAGAAGGCATATCTAATACCAACACTGTGACATCGATACAGCGGATATATTGTCTCACTGCTTGCGCTCTGTGAACACTCGATGCAAGATGGCTTATGCAATGCGGGTGCATACAAACGAGGAGTTACGGGAAATCAGGATGCACCGGGCGTAATACGATTCCGCCAAAGTAGTGTCGTGTTTTGGAAGAAATCGACAGTCGGTGATGACGACGAAAACCAGTGCGGGCAAATATGCCATACGTGCATTGGATTTATTCCATTTTTTATTTCTGTAGAAACGAGAAAATCTAGGAATATCGTCCGAATGTCTTTGTTTTCGATATTGGTTTAATAAATTTGTTTGGAAACAGATAAATATGTGTATACACGGAAAAAAAACTTACTAAAAAGCAAAACTAGATGTTTCAAGCTTTCTATTTATTCTATAAAGGTTTTGGACACATATTGAATAACACTCAGTAATGAAACAACAAAAGCCATGACAAAATAACCCTATTTTACGGTATCAGTTAGAAGGATATTAAACAACTCAAATTTATCATCATTATTAAAGTTATTAATGAAACTCAATAATATGCAATTTATGTAGACTATCCCTATATAATACACTCATATATTCTATGTGGAAATAGTAGATATCTATCTGGCCAGTAATGTAACATCAAACGAATTTCATAATTCCTATTAATAATTAATTTCATCCACCGAAACAGGCAGATCGTTATTTGAATGCCATATTATAGCACACAATAAAGTCGGCGGTTTTCAGATATGAAAGTAATATGGGATAGCGCTTTTTTATGAAACTTCGGCTATAAATTCATCTAATGAAAAAAATTTTCTTATGAAATATTATACTATTACTTCGATGTAATTTTTTTTTAATATCGGTAATATTAGATATAATACCACCAAGTTTACTAATGTAAGATACTATCTGATATCTGATTAGTTGCTGATATTAAATTGACAAAAATGGAAGGTTTGTGGCCAATTGTTACAATAGACGTTTTTAGTAGTGACGTCACATACGCCAAGTAATAGGAAACCCCATAGTACACATTGTCCTGAAGAATTTCTCAATTGCTAGATCGATTTTCGACCTTATGTTCTTTGGACATAAGTGCCAAAAAAATGGCTTCTTTGTCATGACCTTAAATATTGTGATATTCTGGCAATATTAGAAATATTTAAGAAGTTTCAAACCCCGTAGTGACAAACTAAAAGAATTATAGAATTTATACAGGGTGTTTCAGAATGACCTCCGGTAAATATGGGGGCTGATAGTACGACAAAAAATAAGAATTTTTTGTCTTATGAACTGTATGTCTATCTCATCTTGTTTTCGAGATACGGAGCGACAACATAAAATTTTTTAAATAGAATTTTTACGAAAATTTCCAAACGGTGCGAGATATTTTTATGAAATTTGGCGTTCCGGGCTTTTTAAGGGTGCCAAATACGCTGATCTAATTATTTTTTGGATATTTCATAGAGGGCGCTAGTTATGCTACATTCTTATTACAATTTAAGTTTTAATTTTTTTAAGGTTAGGTTTTTTACCATTCGGGCTCCAGTTTCTAATGTACAATATTATTTTCTAAAAATGATGTACTCTTGTTAGAACTTTCTAATCTGGACGGTTTTCGAGAAAAAAATTTTTAATTAAACTCTTACAATATTACGGTGTATAAAATAAGTTACTTTTTTCAAAGTAGGCTTGTGTCAAAACTTATTATATCAAAATTTTAGTGATTGTGTGACTTAAGGTAGTAATGACTAAGAGCTGTTTTACATTGACAATTTATTGATGAATAAATTGACGAAGTTCTTCATGAATTAATTCACGAATTTATTGGTAAACAGTGTGGTTTTACACTGCTACAGACTTTATCAAGTTTTTTGACGCATGAATCAGTTCTACCAACGCATCAAAGAAGCAAATACATTTCAAAAATGTCACCTTTCCACTCATAATTGTAGTGATACAACAGCGGTACCGTTTTGACACATATTATATAAATATTAGTGATTGTAAGTAACAAATTAGTAAAAACAATGCAAAACTAGTACGACGCCACACAATTATTTACATATTCCAATAACATAACCTCATTACTGATCTGAGGGTGGAAATCTGTTGGGTTGGTACTTCCGAACTTCACGAAGAAATTGACAAAGATTAGAACATGCTCTAATTCGTCAAGAACTTGATGAATAAATTCATGAAGTTATTTGACAGCAGATTTGGTGCATTACACTTGTCCAATTTCTTGATGAAGCGACTTCATGAATTAATTGATCAATAAATTGTCAATGTAAAACAGCTATTATTAATGTGATGTCAAATATTTTGTTAGTTGTTTCTGTTTTGATGGTACATCTAATTGGGTGTTTCTTAAATGTCACCAGTTGTGCATTTAAAAGTTTTTTGTTTCAATATTGGCCTAGTGTGGATAAAATTGTAGTAACCGCTTTCAGTAGTTATTACGAATGCACATAATTACAGTGATCAAAGACTAATGCTTGTGCTATTAGTATACAGTGAATGTAGGCAAAATACTGCGATAGCAGCGTTTTTTCCATTTCGCCATGAACCAAGAGCTCCAAGACTTGGAACTTTCGCTCGTACACTTCATTAGTCTTCGACCTTTATAAATTACTTCACCATTTAAAGTTCATTTTTTTAATTTGGATAAGGGATGATTCAGATTAGGATAATTTAAAGAAAGATCATACAGTTTTGCACAAAGAATTAAATTTATTACGTTCATATATTGAAAACTTCACAGTCTGAAATAGTAAAGCTTTTATTTGTCGCGGTTCTAACATTCTCAGAAATATGATTCGTTAGGATATTATTCCAAACTTATTGCCCAAGATATTCCTCTATTCGTTCGATAGAGATTTTGGATTTACGACCATTACGTGGATATCCATAACATTAGTCCCGGTATGTCCAATTTTCACTAAGTTATTCCCTCCATTATACCTCTCGTAGAAACCGTAGGAGTCGTTGTTGTCTAAATAATATTCGGGATTAATGTTCTCTCGGAGAGCATTCGCCACTAAATCGGAACTTCCAATGGCTCCGGCTGCGTCTGTGGGGCCGTCTATCCCATCTGTGCCGCAGCTAAGAAATGAAATATCCGCCGATTTTATTCCCAGATTATTAACATCGACCGAAAAAGCCAAAGCTAATTGTTGGTTTCTTCCTCCCTTCCCGCCACCCCTGACCACAACAGTTGGCTCCCCTGCAAATAAAAGTTAACTGTGGATGTTCCTCAGCTGCGACGGTTTTTATTGCTATCTACTAATGTTGTACTGTTTCTCATTTAAATCTTAAATTAATGGGTTATAATAAGAAAATAATATACCAACCAATACACCGGGTGTCGAGAACTATGAGTAAAAAACTTGAGAGGTGATAAAAATAATTCATATATAAATCCTCGTAACACATACAGTGTGTCCCACTTAAGCATTAGCCACCCATGTAAAATTGTTATTTATTGATCGATTTGTTTCAACTTTTTTTTTGTTTGATAGATTCCAGAAAAAGGGGTGACCTTGATTTGACCTTTAATGACCAGCAGAGGTCAAATTCAGAAAATGGTCAAGGACATATCTGAACGTAGAATTTTCCGCTCTTTTCATTTCCGGGGTAAAAAGTAGGGCATCCCATTTGAAAAAATTAACTTGACCTTGAAATAACCTTGAAGGTCAAGGTCAAGGTCAAATCTAGGGTCACCATTGAATAGCCAGGGAAAAAAATCCTATATCTTTTGTCTGAATAATTTTTTCTCAAAATGCATTTTTCGAAAGTTAGTGTGCTGTTTCCATAGTTTTGGGACACCCTGTATGTATTCGCCAATATAGACACTATAAATTGTTTGGTCATGGTCAAGAAATTGGCAATTTCTTATAGTGATTTTCTACAACTAACAGTTCGAAAACACAAGATATAAAAAAGCTGAAGCACTAAAGGCTTTAAATAACACTTATAATTATTACAAAATTGTTCATAACTTTTTTAACTTGCAATCTTTTTTGTTTTTGCTTGAGATAACCCTTAAAAGCGCTTAAAATATAAAAAAATAAGTAAGATTTGAACACAGAAGCTCATGCTTTATAATACTCTTGGCATTAATATATGCCAAACCATCTTTAAATTATAATTTTTTATTTTAAATGCTAATGTACAATTTCTCATTTGAATCTTAAACGATTTCATACTGAAAAAGTCGTATCCAGTATCGACTTACAATTGTTAAAATATTCATATCTGCCATCAATCATCTTGTAATATATAATTTATAAAAAGGAATGTAAATACCATTGAATAAACATAGACGAATGGAAAATACTAAAAGTTGGCACCTTCGTGAGCGTCTTTCATCAATGTATTGCCTTTTTTTTCTGAACATAGTTACAGCAGTAATATTGTATTTTCAGGGTAATCAATATCATCATACAAAAATGTTTATTATGTCTGAAGATGTCCGAAAAGTAAACAATTATTTATTTCTCCCCATTCCAGACATTCCTGCATATTTTTACAGATTCTTATTATTACTACAGTTGAATATGAAATATGCGGCCAAAAGAATATGCCATAAGCCACATTCTTATGGCTATATCATTGAGAAAACATTCGAAGAACTCCATAAGAACAAAAGAATTAGTGTTATGAATACGATTTTTGACAAAATGAATTAATTCTTCGTAAAAAATGTGTGAATTAAGCATATTTTTCTTTCCGATGTATTCAAAAGCAAATAGTTACATGTAAATCTAACATCTGATAATCCTACATTTATTACAGTCTGAGTCCTGACACAATATACCAAACACCAAGCACTAAAAAGAATTCTAAAAATATGTCTATAAAATTTTACAACACAACTAACCACCGTATATCACAGCATGTATACCTATTTAAAAATTTATGTCGTCATATACTAGGGGAGGCAGATGCATATTTTAGGAGTAATTCCTACAATAATATGAAATTGAGATATAAAATTGCATTATCTTGGTCTCTAAAGGAATCTTATTAATATTATAGTGCTTTGTTTTTCTATAACAGCCGACAGCTTTGTCAAATTAAATCTGTGAAACTTTGCCGATGTTTCACATTAAATGTAAATAAGCATACTTGTACATGTAGAGTCAGGAACAAGATTTGAACATATTAAATGAACGGCATGTCGTTTTAAAGTTTTTTAAATTCTTGGTTGTCGAGCAATTTTGTACCACCATTAAAAATAATATTGGACATACAGAAATTTTTAAGTAAATAACTGAAGTGTTGTTTTATGTAAAACTTTTTCATTTTTTCTTAATACAGCGTAGGACTCCAAAGCGTGTACAGTTATCTCTACAGACTAAAATTTCCTTTACCTGCGAAAATTAAGCAAATGGGTCTTGAGAAATCCAGATGCAGAATTTCCTCGACAATACCGTGCCTGAAGGGCAGATCCATTGCAGCGTTTTCCAGAAAAACTCTTGCTTTGTCCTTGTTACCGGAATCAGTAATTGCGGCGTCAAGATTGCGTGCCATCCGGGCATAAATTCCGCTGATTCTGTTCACATCGCCATCTATCTCCGTTGAAACAATTACTGATTGAAGACCCTTATTTATCGCTTCTTCTTTGGCTGCCTCCGCTGCTATTGTGTTATTACCTAAGTGTGCAAGGGAGTCTATTAATTTGAGCTGGGATGATTAAATGCAAAATTTCCGTTTCCTTAATTATACATCGTTCTGGGTTTTATGATTATTGCACGAGGCTCAGAGTAACGATGCCAGTTCCCCTAATAGCGTTAATAATTATGTTTCATCAAGAAGCTCCATTTTTATTGAGACAAAGCAGCATCATTTTGTTAATTGACACTTGTATTGACGTATGGAACGTCCTTTCGTACAATTTAAGAATGAAAGTGTCAATGGTAATGATGATAAAAAGTAGTGACCCACTATGTGCTGGGCAAAATAGGTCTGACGTCTGCCCTTCTCCGAAATAGAATTGGAGTCTGAATTTTTTCTAGAATGAATTAACAAAAGCAAAAAATAGTTATTTACACCATAAAGGAGGTAAGTATTATTTACTAGTCGAGGACGATTTTGCGCCCGAGCGGAGCGACTGCTGGTAATAGAGTCCGAGACTGGTAAATTATACTTAACTGCTGCGTGGTGTATAACAATTTATCTGCTCCCAGAGTTATTTATGGTTCATGAAATAAAGATTAGGTTTTATTTTTTGACATTTCTTAATCTATTCATTTTGACATTCGAAATCGTAAAAGTCGCCTTGTCAATGATTAAGTCAACTATTTTCATAGAGGAGAACGTGGATATGTCAAAAATACCCTAAGCTGGGAGCATTTTTGAAACGTAAGAATGACGGCTATACACCTAAAAAGTCAAAAGTTTTTACAAGAGGACAAGTCAACGATTTTCTCGTACAGGCACCCGATAACACATATTTGCTAATGAAGATAGTGCAAGAGCATGCCGTTCTGGTGAATTATGCAAACTTACTTTGGACAACGTGAATTTCAGAAATTTCGATGACATTACTGTAGTTACAATTCCAGATTCTAAAAATGGTACGTTTACAATTACTTCTCGTCTGGGTTCTGTTTCTTACCTAGAAATTTTCAAGAAATATATCAAGAATTTTACGCTTTTTTGTGCGCTATCGAGCAAGTAGATGTTATAACCAACCAGTCGGCAAGAATACCTTTCTATGATTCCTAATAAGATTGACAGTTTTTAAAACTAGAACATCCTGAAACGTATACAGGCCATTCATTCCGAAGAACATCGGCAACGTTACTGGCTAATACAGGAGTTGATGTATTAGCAATCAAGACACATGGTGGGTGGAAATCAGCCACAATTGTAGAAAGTTATGTTGCTGACAGTTTAAGTAACAATTACAGAAAAAAATAGAGTAGTTATAAACCTCGTTATAACCAAGTTGCGTCACAATCGCAAATTCAAATTTGCCTCCGATATTGCGACTGTATAGCACGCCAAATATCAAANAATAGAGTCCGAGACTGGTAAATTATACTTAACTGCTGCGTGGTGTATAACAATTTATCTGCTCCCACAGTTCTTTATGGTTCATGAAATAAAGATTAGGTTTTATTTTTTGACATTTCTTAATCAATTCATTTTGACATTCGAAATCGTAAAAGTCGCCTTGTCAATGATTAAGTGAACTATTTTCATAGAGGAGAACGTGGATATGTCAAAAATACCCTAAGCTGGGAGCATTTTTGAAACGTAAGAATGATGGCTAAAAAGTCAAACGTTTTTACAAGAGGACAAGTCAACGATTTTCTCGTTCAGGCACCCGATAACACATATTTGTTAATGAAGGTAGTGACGGTCTTAGGCATTGCAAGAGCATGCCGTTCTGGTGAATTATGCAAACTTACTTTGGACAACGTCAATTTCAGAAATTTCGATGACATTACTGTAGTTACAATTCCAGGTTCTAAAAATGGTACGTTTACAATTACTTCTCGTCTGGGTTATGTTTCTTACCTAGAAATTTTCAAGAAATATATCAAGATTAGATTGGAAATTAAAACTGGAATTTTACGCTTTTTTATGCGCTATCGAGCAAGTAGATGTTACAACCAACCAGTCGGCAAGAATACCCTTTCTATGATTCCTAATAAGATTGCACAGTTTTTGAAACTAGAACATCCTGAAACATATACAGGCCATTCATTCCGAAGAACATCGTACGTTGCATGGTGATGTTTTAATGGATCAGTCAGATAATACTGAGCCTCCGGTGACTGAAATGGAGCGGTCAAATCATTTTGAGAAAAATGTGACAATTAATAAACGCAAGGTGAATAATTATCCGGATTTTATAAATGTTATTAATTGTAATAACTGTACAGGCTAGTCCATTTTCGATGGGAATTCAGGGTATTTCAGAAACTACTAAAGATATGATAAATCTGACACGACGTTCTCGAGCTCGATTTTCATGGCAAACTCAACTGTCAGATCGGAAATTTGCTATCTTCATTTGTTTCTGAGTTACAGGGTGTTTCTCGTTACTGTCTCTTTGTTTAACATGCCTCTATCTCAGCTGTTAAAAAAGTTAGAGTTATAGTGAATACTGCTCAAGACTAATTCTTTAGCGTAGAACTGAATGCCGGTATTAGATTTTTAGTAGATCTTAAGATTTCGGAGTTATGACCCAAAGTAATATTTTTTTTAAATGGAAATCGTAGGTGACCACGGCCTAAAAAAATAGAGATTTTTTTCGCTTTTTAGCAATATATCACATGCTATAGTTATTTTTACAAACATGGGAGATACGGGGTGTTTTATATATAAATTATATATTTTTTTCCTTTTTAATATGACCAGCTATGAAAATATAGATAAAACTATAATTCTTACTATTACAAAAGTCATATCTGTTGTAAAAATATGACATTTATTTTAAATGTACAACATATACTCGTGTGATAATATAATACTAACGAAATTTTAGGTGATACGTGGATAGGAACAAACGGACCGATCAGATGGCCAGCTAGGTTACCTGATTTGAGTCCGTTGGACTTTTTCCTTTGGGGTTTTCTAAAAGACATTATATTTAAAATTCCTTTTAATAATATTTCAAATATACATTTAATGAATGNAATAGAATTGGAGTCTGAATTTTTTCTAGAATGAATTAACAAAAGCAAAAAATAGTTATTTACACCATAAAGGAGGTAAGTATTATTTACTAGTCGAGGACGATTTTGCGCCCGAGCGGAGCGACTGCTGGTAATAGAGTCCGAGACTGGTAAATTATACTTAACTGCTGCGTGGTGTATAACAATTTATCTGCTCCCAGAGTTATTTATGGTTCATGAAATAAAGATTAGGTTTTATTTTTTGACATTTCTTAATCTATTCATTTTGACATTCGAAATCGTAAAAGTCGCCTTGTCAATGATTAAGTCAACTATTTTCATAGAGGAGAACGTGGATATGTCAAAAATACCCTAAGCTGGGAGCATTTTTGAAACGTAAGAATGACGGCTATACACCTAAAAAGTCAAAAGTTTTTACAAGAGGACAAGTCAACGATTTTCTCGTACAGGCACCCGATAACACATATTTGCTAATGAAGATAGTGCAAGAGCATGCCGTTCTGGTGAATTATGCAAACTTACTTTGGACAACGTGAATTTCAGAAATTTCGATGACATTACTGTAGTTACAATTCCAGATTCTAAAAATGGTACGTTTACAATTACTTCTCGTCTGGGTTCTGTTTCTTACCTAGAAATTTTCAAGAAATATATCAAGAATTTTACGCTTTTTTGTGCGCTATCGAGCAAGTAGATGTTATAACCAACCAGTCGGCAAGAATACCTTTCTATGATTCCTAATAAGATTGACAGTTTTTAAAACTAGAACATCCTGAAACGTATACAGGCCATTCATTCCGAAGAACATCGGCAACGTTACTGGCTAATACAGGAGTTGATGTATTAGCAATCAAGACACATGGTGGGTGGAAATCAGCCACAATTGTAGAAAGTTATGTTGCTGACAGTTTAAGTAACAATTACAGAAAAAAATAGAGTAGTTATAAACCTCGTTATAACCAAGTTGCGTCACAATCGCAAATTCAAATTTGCCTCCGATATTGCGACTGTATAGCACGCCAAATATCAAACGACCACTTTCAAGCATTTTATTTAAAATAAAATAGTGCCAGAAAGTATTTTCTTAAAAAAATTAAAAAATAATTACTAACTTTCAAAGCCACCGTGAATTTGTCGCAAGTATGGCGTATGTAGTACGACTTGGTTGCAACTCATTAATATTTTAGCGCAACTTATTTCCACGGAGATTACCTATTATGTAATTTTTGACGTGCTGGTAACACCCGTTTAAGATCGGTGCGGCAGAATCGGAAAATTGATTTCCCCTTTGTAGTACACGTCTTATTGAATCTGGAATTTCCTCGTATAAATGGTATTTCTTTAAGATTTCCACCGCACTCTCGGGCGAATCGGTGTTTGGTATTGTTGGGCCGCTAGCGATAAAATCTAATGGGTCTCCTACGATATCCGAAAGCACTAAAGAAATTATTCTGCAGGGGTAAGCCACTTCTGCCAGCCCGCCCCCTTTCAGCACTGAAATTTGTTTTCGGAGGCAGTTCAGTTCTCGGATGTTGGCACCTGCAACATAAGAGGGATTTATTCGTTGGGGCGAAACTTAAAAGATCCATCAGCAGTTGATGTCAAAATTCGTATTTCACATGAGAAATGATAAGTCTTTCAAACATTTTCATTTTTAATGCGTGAAAGGTACGACAGTAGATATTCATTTTTTTCTTTAGGATAGCATGCGTTCGACAAAATAAAAAAATAATCTAAAAATTTAATTGAAAATAAATAAATAATTTTGTATGTGAAATTTTTCTTTTGTCTGCGTATTGAATATAACTTAACAAGATATATATTGAAAAAATGGTCTAAAAATAAGAATAACATTTAAACAAATAATGATTTGTACAACGATCTTAAAGAAAGGATAATTCAAACATTTAAACTTAATGGAGAACAAAGGAAAACCTAAAAAATTCTTGGAATTAAAATAAGAATTGACGTGTTTTTGTCTAAAGAAATTTACCAGTCGTTTATCGAATTTATGCTTTACAAACTCATATTAGGACCCGTCTTTTGTAATTCAACGCTTTTCTGTTGCGCTACTACTTTTGGTTATTTAGTAAAAATGATTCTTCCACTATGTCTTGAAGCAAATGATTGCTTGAGAAATTCTTATGGCAGAATCCTCAAATAGAGAAATCTTTTCACAAAGTTTCATACTAAAGTTTATATTTTTTTATACGGAAATACTATAAAAACCTAATAAATGTGGAACTAAATATACAGGGTGACTAACTTTCCCAAAAAACGCAGTTTCGAGAAAACAAATATAGTATTTTCAACCTTTACATCTCTTCGTAGCCCTAGTGTATTAGTATTAACGTTTTTAAGATAGTGTTTACATTATTTTTTCAAGTGTCGAAGTGTCAAATGGATAAAATTTTGTACAGTTGTTATAACATCAAGTACTTATGTCAAATTTATTATTAATTAAAACTACATATTAATTTTATTAATTAATAATAACAATAGCGGCAAAAGCAGTTGAATTTGCTGATATAAAATAAGTGTTAATAAAATTTTTATTCATTTCTTTCCTTGGAAAATTGGTTAAATTTTTTGTCCGACTAGGTACATGCTGTGCCTTGCGCCAGGTCAGATTTTACAGTGGACCAGTTTCCAGTGTACTTTTGAGTCAATTTCGAACTACCCTTTTTGATTTTTTTTACAAAATTGTATTTGTAAGAATCCTCTGTATATACAAATTCATTAAAAGTACGGAGAGTGTGTAGCTGAGCGTTTTTTGGGGAGATCCTTTATATCGATATACCTATTGTTTAAAATAGTAGTGATATTACGTATTAGAAAATTTATACAGCATTAGAAAATTTATACAGCATTCTTCAGGTTTTCTTCAAACAATTTTACTTTAAATAGAATATGAATATATTTCAGTTTTCCAGTGAAAAATGTATATCTCAGCTTTATATGGAATTAAGAGAAAAGCTTATTCTAAAGGTTCTATTCGTAAAGAATATTATTTAAATCTTGTAAATAAAGAAGAAACATTCATTCAGATTTACACATTATTTACCTTTGCTACCCAGCTTCTTTATAACAGTAAACTTTTCATCCAGAGTAATAGGAGGGATAGGCAATGGTAGCAGGGCTGATCCTCCACCTGTAGGGGAACTAATTTTAGAAACAATTTTAATTAAAGAAATTAGTTTTGACTAGAACGGATCGATTTGATTATTTCACGTGAACTTCCAAGTCCTTAATTATTTAAGAGGAATTTGACGTTGTACACCCTTTCAATCGATCAGGTAAGTGGAAGTAAAGCTACGGAGTATAAGCTCTTTGAAAAAGAAAGATTGGAACTTTTGGAGTCATTCCATAATCAATTAAGTAATTCGATACACTTAAAAAAAAATTATGTAAACTCAAAATAAACCTTTTACATATTTGCAACGGTTTATAAACAGATTAAATGTAAATGAATTGAACACGGTGTGTAGAATTATTTGGTAATTATTGCCTCATTCAATTCAATTAAGAAAACGCGGCTTTAGACAAAATATATTTTGCTTAGATACCTGAAATAAGTACTAACAGTAAATCCTCTTCCGTCAAGTTCTCTGCTAGCTCTTTAATCATACTAGCACCTTCTTGTGCGTTTATATCAGGCAAATTGTTTTCAGCTCCCTCAATGTATCGGATTTTAGAATCCGGCTTCTCGCCGTTTTTAAATATTCCTGTAGGAACAACCACTACTCCCCTCTCTAGTTGATCTTCTAAGACACGTTCCACCTCAATTGCCATCCCCAATACTGCTTTGCCGAAACCTACTACATAACATGGCTTCCGCAGTTGGTAAGTTTCGCCCCTTACGACGAGATGGCGCCCTGTTAATTTCAGTTCGTTTTTTATAAGTTTCTGCGGTTGTACTGATGCCACTGACTTTAGAAAAATGTCTTTTAAAACTTCCTTCGACATTTCACTTTTTGATTTGGTATAAACTAATCTCACACCGTTCCTGACCTGTGAAAAAACTGTCATTGATTTATTACCAAACATAACGCACTCACGAACTACTCAACAAAACATAATTTGCAGTTTATCATTTACGACCTTGGCCATAGGCGTACAAGATTACAAACAAAGGTACGTTTTAAGATAAATGAAACGCTAGTACGCAAATTATAACAAAATTCTGAACTAGATCAATTCAAAATAGCGAACTGTTTTATGAATTAATTTATTTTTAATTTTAATTGAGTAGATCTTAAGATGCAGTAAACTCTTTTACAATAAGTTAGCGATTTTAGAGGAAGTTTAAGTCTTATATATCTTTCAAGTGTAGCTGCTGCTGTTAAATAGATGTCACTAGCATTTGCTCAGTTTCAAATTTCTTTAGTGAATTCAATTCCTGTAGGGTTATCGTTTCAAATTATTGGAATCTATATAATGACTTGTTGGTACAAGGGGTAGTTATTTCTACCCTCACACAGCACATTGCAATTATCTAACTGTAGATGGCGTTATTACCCTGATTTTATATTAATAGTGTTAATGTTACCAACAAAAAGGAATAGTGTGTAGCATATTCATCATCTAAAACCACACTCAGACCTTACGTACGTAACAAAAACCACAGAATAAACTCCATGAAGTGAATTTCCGTTAATTTGATTACGCTATCAGATATTTTTAAACAAACAAACCAAATTTGGCAATAGGTATATTGTACATGAAATTATATACAAAATGTTTTATAAAAAACGTTTAGGTATATTACCATATGCCCAAAAATATACAGGGAGAAAAAATTTAATACATATTCTTTGGTTTTTCTTTCTTTTAAGACATCTTTTATTTTAAATTAATGTTTAATGACCTCACCAGAGACGTTCGTGACTCAATAGTATCCAATTATTTAAAAAATTATACACACACCACTGACATTTTCAAATTTGTGAGTATTTTTTGTAATCCTCGTTCATTGTTCTCAATTTTCGACATACAGAAATATCTCTGACAGACCTTTCTTCTTTCTGTAAAAGCTCCCGAGCTAAAGGACCGTATTAAATGAAATCCAAATAGATCCTTACCATTTCCTTCCCATATTAAAAGCAAGACATGCAAACCTGTTAAAGTTTTGGTTGGAATTGGACATGCACTTTTATGGCAATTTTAAAGTGTTTTTTAATGAGAGTGACATATCCGTACCAATTTTAATTTAAATGATTTAAATATACGATTTATTTTACATTACGTTACATGTCAATACAATTTCATTGATTTTCAATGAAGTGAGCCGTCTGTTTTGAAATTATTGATGAGTGCGGGCTTTGGCGCATCCATTTTTCATAGATTTGCTTTACAACCGAGTGAATTTTCCTACATCGGAATATTCCTCCACAACAAAACGAAAAACAAATTACTCCACTGTTGGCATTTCGCCCACATTTTGCAGGAGGGGCGTAGGTGGTACAGATTTATAAGGGCAGAGGTTGCCCATCCTAATAAGCCAGGATGTCATTATAAATGATCTCTTAAAGCTTTTTTTTTATTCTCAAAGGAATTGTATTTACTTAAAAATAGCTTTTTGCTATAATGACTATACAAGAGAAACAATAAACTTTAAGGAGACATCGGAGAAAATTAGGAAAAAAAGGTGAATATAAATTTAGGTTCGGATATCAGTACAGTACCTAATACTTACAAAAAATAAAAGCTTAAATTTTGATTTTCGGAGTATCCACCGTTAGAGTGCAAACATAACCATATATTTCTTAAAGTATAAATGTACTCTTTCGTATTTGTGCCTAATTGACAACTTCATTGTACCAAACCTTCAATATTTAGTTATTTTTCCTTCATTTTCTTCTAGTTTTAGTATAGAAAAAGTAGCAGTTTGGCAAAAATTAAATTAGGGAGTAGTACACAGCCTTCTACTTCTAGTTAACTACAAACTTGCAGGGTGTCCCGGTACTTTGTACAAAAAAGTCGAGTACAAATAGATGAGGTCAAAATAATATCAGTTCTTCATATAATTTTTTTCCATACGGGCATTCATTAACAAGTTACGGGCCCTCAAAAGTTATTTTTATTTACAGTCTCTAAACTATTGACTTTAGCATGATGTAAATTTGGTGATCGATAACACATGCGTACAGCTTGTTTTTGATGTTGTAAGTGATACATCATTATGCCCAAAATGTTAGGAACTGACTATGCCCAATGGTTAACAACCCAGAATTTTTGCATAGACGACGATCGCAATCTGCTTGCATAAAAAATAAGTTCCCTGAAGAATTTTCCAACATAATACCTTCTTGGTTCAACTTGGTAAAATTATCAGTTTAGGATATATTTGTGATTTTATGTCACAGTGCATATCGAGCGGTGCCTCCACCATTTTTTGTTTTTAATTGTTTATTGGACATAATTACTATGTTAGACTCTAGATATTTTTAAAATAAGAGCCTAAAAAATACAAAATCTTACTGTCTGCTAATTAGTTCACTAACAAAATTTGACAAACACACTTTACACGTAACACAAAATAAAAAAATATATGAATAAGTTAAAGTTAAAAAAATAATTTAAAAGAAAAAAACTATCAAAATACATTTTCAATATGGACACCAAACACATCCTAAGTTTAGAATGTTATTTGTTTGTACATGAAAAAGCATTTCTGGGGTATGTCTAATATTATCACAATGGAAATTAATTCTTTGTAGCAATTCATTCCTTGTCTATACTGGGGTTGAGAACACAAAACTTCTCAGGTATCCCTACAGGAAGAAGTCGATCGGGTTAAAGTCTTGAGAACGTGGTGGCCATGAAATTGAAGTGTAAAGTGTGTTTGTCAAATTTTGTTAGTGAAAATTACATTAGCAAACACTAAGATTTTCTATGCTCTTATTTTAAAAATATGTACGGTTCTAACATAGTAATTATGTGAATATTAAAAATTGTGTGACTGTGACATAAAATCAGAAATGTTTCCTAGACTGTTAATTTTACCGAGTTGAACCGAAGAAGATATTATCTTTTTTTTATGCAGGCAGATTGCGATCGCCATCTATGCAAACATTCTGGGTTGTTAACCATTGGGCATAGTCGGTCCCTGGCGTTCTGGGCATAATGAAGTTTCAGTTACAATATCAAAAACAGGCTATGCTCATGTGTTATCGATCAGCAAATTTGCATCATGCTGAAGTTAATAGTTTAGAGACCTTTGACGTCCCGTAACTTGTAACAAAGGCCAGTATGAAAAAAGTTTATAAGAACTGATATTATTTTGGCCTCATCTATTTATACTCGACTTTTTTGTATCAAGTACTGGGACACCCTGTATATATTTGTTGTAAATGAGATAATTGTTTGAATATTCAAAAACTAGCCGATTCTATTATTATTTTTTCATTTTACTTAATATTTTTTCTTTACAATTGTTACATCCTTTGGTGTAAACGCATGAAACAAGAAAAGAAAAATAGTGCTTACAATTTACATATCTTTACACACATGTCACTTCCCTTTTGATTTATGTATCTGGAAAAACTTTTACGTCTCGGTTACAAACATAATTCTCAAACAATGTTCAAACTCTGACAGTTTGAAAAGTATCAAGCAAAACAGGAAGGGTAGTAATTTTATGTGCCTTCAGATTTAGTTAAGGATCTGAATCTGGATTAATGCTTTAAAAAGACTACAATCCCGCTATGACGGCAAGAGGAGGTAGAGATATTATCGGGAGGATGTACCAGGCACAAGCCCGTTTGGAAAATAGAAGGGATTTAATGACGGAATTAATACAGATTAAACCGGGCTTTCCGGAATCTAATTATCAACTTACAGTGAATGTTACTCCAAATCCGGACGAGTTCGCTTCTAAACATATTTGTTGATTAAATGGGGAACAGAAAAGTCGTTTCATTTTGTTGTTGCTTAAATATACAGGGTGTTCTACAAGCTCTACTACAAACTTTGATAGGTGGTAACTGGTTTAATTTCAAACAATTTTTCTTATATGAACATAGGTCCGATTCATTTTTGTTTAGAATTTACAAGCATTAAAAAAATATAATTTCATATTTCAAAGTAGCCTAATAATTAAAAACGCCCTGTATCTCTTAAGCGAATTAATTTTTTCTAGATGAGGTGGTTATTTTTCATTTAGGAAATAGGAGAATCCTCCTAAATTATCGAATTTAGTCCACCCTGTATAGTAAAAGGTGTTCTATTATTCCGTAATAGCTGTCATACATTGACAATTTATTCATGAATAAATTGACGAAGTTCTTCATGAATTAATTCACGAATTTATTGGTAAACAGTGTGATTTTACACTGCTACAGACTTCGTCAAGTTTTTTGACGTATGGATCAGTTCTACCAATGAATCAAAGAAGCAAATAAATTTCAAAAATGTCACCTTTCCACTCATAATTGTAGTGATACAACAGTGGTACCGTTCTGACACATATTATATAAATATTAGTTTTTGTAAGTAACAAATCAGTAAAAACAATGCAAAACTAGTACGACGCCACACAATTATTTACATATTCCAATAACATAACCTCATTACTGATCTGAGGCTGGAAATCTATTGGGTTGGTACTTCTGAACTTCACGAAGAAATTGACGGAAACTAGAACATGCTCTAATTCGTCAAAAACTTGATGAATAAATTAATTAAGTTATTTGACAGCAGATTTGGTGCATTACACTTGTCCAATTTCTTGATGAAGCGACTTCATGAATTAATTGATCGATAAATTGTCATTGTAAAAAAGCTATAAGCAATGGTTGCTATGGTTATTCACTTGTAAGGTTACTTTTATGAGCAATTGTGTTATAAATTAACAGAAAACCGTATGCGTAAAATCACATAATGTATTTTTTGTTGTCGATTTCAGTTCAAAATAGAAACCTGGAACGTCAAGAAAAATTACCCAAGTACTTGACATTTCAGTTTCAGCGTTCGACTGTACCTAAATGGTACCAATTTATGCATATTGTGATTAAATTTACCATTTATCATACAACAAACAACATAGTGTATGTAGAAACAAACTGTAAACATTTATGTTAATTTGTAGTATGAAA